ATCGATTCTGTGACTGGAGCGGTGGGAATAGTGCATTTGAGATGGCTAGGTTGGCACAGGATAGAACAGCGTTTAGAGCTCTTGTACATAGGGTTGCTATGAGTGGCAAACGACTCGATGGCACATTAACAACAACAACAATAACAGCAGTAACAGAGCAAAGTCCCAACAGCAAGTGCTTACTTCATGTCTCTGTGGCACATTTTGTTAATTCTCATAGATAGTATTTTAAAATTCTTCAAAATGCTATTGTACACTTAACAGACTACAGCATAGTGTAAACATAACTTTTATATGCACTAAGAAACAAAAAAAAATCCATGGGACTCGCTTTACTGTGGTTGTCTGAAATCGAATCTGCAGTATCTCTTGAGGTCTGCCTGTCTGTGTCAGGATTAGATCTAAGGATGCAAAGATATGATACATTTCTAGTCTCTGAGGTATTTCAGGGTCTATTAGGAGAAAAGGCTCAAAAGTGACTAACTCATTTTGTAAAAACAGAGACATTAATAAAAGTCTTAGAAAATAGAAAATCTTATGAAATAGTTCAAGGATAGGTTAACCAGAATATAAACTCAAACCTCACTATGATCGACTTGGTTCCAATTCACACCCTCCACTGGGTTTCTGAGGGAACAAGAGAGACCTCATCTTTTTCCTTCAGGCCCCCTGGTAAATTCGAACCTCTGGAGACATGCAGCATTTGGGTTAGCAGCGTGACTTCCTATAGACTCTGCCACCGGAGCTCCTTATCACACTAACTCGATAAGCAGGTCTCTCTTGCTGGTGTATACAGTTAACACATTTGTCTGCTAACTGAAAGGTTTGCAGTTTAAGTCCAGACAGAGGTACCTCAGAAGAAAGGCCTGGAAATCTACTCTGAAAAATGAGCCAGTGAAATGGGAGTATGCCACATATTGACACACACAGGATTACCGTGGACTGGAATCAATTCAAGAACAACTGCAAATAATTAGGATTACTTCAAATCCTACTAAGGCATATAAAAAAGAAACACATCAAACTTGCTGCCCTCACGTGAGTCCTCATGTATTTCAGAGTAAGGCTGTATTCCACAGGCATACAAATCACCAGGACCTTTCTTCAGTGGCACGGCTAAGTAGATTCAAACCACCCAACTTGGTTAGTGGCCAAGGGTAAATCATTTGTGCTATCTACTAAAGCATAAAGGCTGTATTTTAAAAATCCAAAGGTCATTGCAACTTGGATTACAGAAAAAGCCAGTCTAAATTCCACACGAGAGTTGAGAAAATGCTAGTGGAAAGGTTAACAGCAGAATGATTTTGAAAATAACTTGGGTTTTAAAAGCACATAAAGAGAACAATGCTTACCATGCACTTATAATGTGCAGCTGCCTTTTTGGCATTAAATATGTGTAGTTTCCCCCTCGCTTCATTTTCTTCCTCACCTACATGACAAAATCCACATTTAGGCCTGGTGTCACTAGGGCTGCTTCTGTGTGGAGATCGGTCTCTCTGTGAATGCAAAAAAGAAAAACAATAAAAGTCCCTCTTCTTAAAAAAATCCATGAAAATATGATTTAAATATCTTAGCTGACATTTCAAACGCTAAACTCTATCAATGATTTAAATTAAACACTCATGGCGCCGCAAAAAAGTAAGATGCAAGCCGTTTTCCACTTACATAGGAACTACTTTCCATTTCATCTGTTCCATGGGAGGAAGTGGATCTGGTATCTTCCGACAGCCCTTTAAAATTAGTTTTCCTTGGCCTTCCTTTGCGACTTTTCTTTTTATTTTTAGGTGATGAGGGCTCCAGTTCATGTTCATTAAAACTTTCTTCTAAATCAGCTGCTTAAAAATGAACAAAAGCTTTATATGGACCAATCTTAAAATGTGTGTTAGTTCATGGATCCTTAGAATATATATTTTTCCTTAGAATGAAATGACTTCCCACAGAGAGAATGGTCTCCAATCATGATCAGTGATAGGCTCAATATAGTTACCTAACAGTACATATAAATACAACAAAAACCAAGTATCAACAGTAGTTTTATTATAATTATGTTGTTGTTAGGCTCTGTTGAGTCACCTGCGACTCACAGCGACCTTTGAAGCCTGCAGTGTCCAATCATTAGTTTCTGCTTACAATTTTGCGGGCTCAGCCTCAGTTGCCGTATCTGTTAGTCTACTCTAAGTGTACAAAGGGTTTTCGAAGGCCTGTACTGTAATCATCACCTTACCTATTTTCTTTTAATGTAGAATCCTGTAACATTTGAGTTTAGCATTTCTGCTGGTGTATATGTCAGTCCAAATTTCCAAACTCTACCACATACTTTTGGTGAAGTTGGAAAACTTAACTAAACCCTGGAAAACTAAAGATGAGCATAATAATGTAGGTGATCTGCACTATCTAATATAGTAGTTACTAGTAGCATGTTGCTTGTAAAAAATCTAAAGTCAATTATAATGAAATAAAACGAAATTGTCAGTTTTTCAGCTGCACTGTGTCAAGTGTCTGTTAAGTTAGAAATAGCTGGTATATGTAGCTAGGGCTGGGATAGGTGACATGCTGGACAGTACAGAACATTCTCATCATTGTAGAAAGTTCTCTTGAATGGTTATTGTAGATAGTTCTTCAAATCATCATCGACACAATTCTCAAATTCAACCAGGAAGTGATCTAAAAATGAACTACTCGACTAGTGAGTACACAAGGAATTTCTAACATCAGCAAGTAGAAAGGCTATGCTATAAGTTGTGTACAGTTGAATAGATTAAATAACATTTATGCACAGAAACTTTAGAACTGCATTTCTCCCAAACTGGGAAAAGGTGCCTATCATTTTGTAGTGAATAGTGTTATTCACTACAAATATTTCACTTACTGTGGGTCTGCTATGGATAAGGCAACATATTTAATGTTCCAAAAGGGAAAAAAAAGTAGCTTGGGGCCAATTTATAGACAGTCTTAGGCACAGCTATAATATCTTCATTTTTCCCTTCTTTACCACAGGCATGCTATACTAATTTCAGGAACTAATTTCTTAATTAAAAACCATTAGAAACAATATCAATTCCTTATTATCTGATGTTAGTATCTTTCCTAATAATACTTTAAAAGTTTGTTTTAAAGAAATAAGAGCATATTAATTAAAGAAAAGAGCAATTCACTTGGAGTACTTTACTATATAAAATTATGCAACTACAAATATTCAATTTTTTGAATAATAATTAGCAATAGAAATGCAAATTTGTATAACTATGATAGGATTAAAGAGAGGAAAAAAGAAGGAAAGGTTAAGTTATTGGAGAGCTGCTTTAATAACTGCACAATAGACCTAATCAGTATAAATAATTCTCCTTGTGTCGGAAGAATACATCAATTAAAGAGGTCGTCTTCTGACCTTAATATTAGAAGAAATTTTATGTCAGAAAACACTGTGCACTTCTGACATTAAAAATTACAATTACTGCATGATTAGAACATTTATAAAGAAATTACTTAACAAATTCCACTGTCAGGACAGCATGACACATCTGTCTAAATATATAATTGTTCAGGATAAAATTATAGTACACTTTCATATCAGTAACAAAAAAAGAACAGAAAAGTTCTTGGATTTAAGTATATTAGCCTTTCAAATTTAAGAAAGCAAGAAAAAGTGATTAAATAAAAAGCCAAATAATCAACAGAACATCTGGTGTACTTTGACAAAGAAATTTATTCATATAGGACTAAGACTCCAACAACAACAAAAATGTATCAAGAATTGGTGGTATTGTTGTTAGGTGCCATTGAGTCGAATACAATGCACGGCGACCCTATGAACAGCAATCTGAACCCTGATCTATCCTATGCCATCCTCCCACTTCCTGACACACAGGAGCCCATTGCAACAGTCATTGTGTTAATCCATCTGGTTGAGGTCTTCTTCTCCTCTGAAGACCCTCCATCCTTCCCAGAACCATGTCCTTCTCCAAGGAATAGCAACATTTCCAAAGTATGTGAGGCGAGGCCTCATCATTCTTGCCTCCAAAGAGCACTCCGGCTGCACCTTCTCCAAGATATATCTGTGTACTCTCTTGGCCGACCACGGAGTGGTCAGTACTCTTCTCCAACACGACAGCTCAAAACCATCCATTCTCCTGTCATCCTTATTCACTGTCTAGCTCTCAGATGCATTGCAAGTAACTGGAAAGACTATAGCCTGAATCAGATACAACTTAGTCCTCAAAATTATATCATTTATCCTCAATAATTTAGAGAGGTTCCTAATTGCAGATTTTCCCAGTGCAAAGTGTCTCCTTATTTCCTGATTGCTGGTACCAAGGGTGTTAATTGTGGATCTAAGCAAGATGAAGCTGTTGACAGTTTCAATCTCCTCTCCATCCATCATGACAATTCAGACTATAAGCCAAAACCCTTAAATCGTTGTTGTGGAGTCCATTCAAACTCTCAGCGACCCAACAGTACTGGGAAGCACTGCCTCAGGTCCCCAAGGTTGTGAATGTTTGCTGAAGCAGACAGCCATATGTTTCTCCCATGGAGTAAATAGGTTTGAACTGCTGACCTTTCAGCAAGCAAACATATGCTTAACTACTCAGAGATCTTCTGGAATAATGAAACAAAACAGCCACTGTCAGTGGGTCAATTAGGGAGCTCTGGTGGCCTAGTGCTAAGAAGCTAGGTAGCAATCACGAAGGCAAGCAGTTTGAATCCACCAGGCGCTGTGCTGGAGTAAGAAGATCAATCTTCTCTCGTGCTATTAACTGACTCTGAAAACCCGCTGAATGGTCAGCTATGGGTTGGTTCTGCCTTGAAGGTACAAAACAGCTTGACAGGGAAGAACTGTGCCAAAGGGTTTTTGAGGCTGTAATCTTGACAGAAGCTGACTGCTATATCTTCTTTGCTTGCGGAGCAGCTGATGGGTTGCAACTGCCAACCTTTTAGCTAGCAGCCAAGTGACTGATTATCAAGCCACCAGAGTTTCTTTCACAGACTGTGGGTAATAAAAATATACTTTACAAACTTTAACATCCTTCTCACCTAACAAAATAGCAGAAGTATGAAATGTTTCTAAAGGAACAGCAATAATCCTTCACCAACAGGTAGTGGCTGCAAGTGAGGTGCACATAGAAGGAGAAAACCTACTACTGGACCACCAGTGGACCCTCATTAATGGTTCTGACACTCCACCAAAATGTTTCCAAATGGCTTTTTAATAAAAGTATGAAAGAAAGCAAAGCAAACACTACATGAATATCAAATTACAACATACTTAAGGGCTCTGGCAGGGTTAAGTGCTAGGCAGATTAACGGAAAGGTCAGAGGTTCCAATTCACCAGCCACCCCAAGAAAGAAAGATGAAGCATCTGGCTTCCATAAAGATCCACAGCCTTAGAAACCCCACAGAGCAGCAATTCTACCGAGCCTGGCAGAGTCACTATAAGTTGGAATCAGCTTACTAGTGGTAGGTTTGGTTCAACATGCTTTTCTTCCCATGCAATGGTGGTGATTCTATTCTGAAACATTACTTGAGTTACAGGATCCCATGAGCAGCCTCTAATATTAAGTCTCAGAGCAAAATCAAGACTAGAGCCTTCAAGGTTAGACACAAGAATTTCTTTCTATTTTCTCACAAAACTTGAGACTCGAGGGTCACTATAACTCGAGTTGGGATTCAATAAATGATGTACAATGACAATTATCACCGCTGACATCACATGGATCTTGGCTGAAAGCAGAGAATGAGAAAGATGCTAGCCTATGTTTTATTGACTATGCAGAGGCATCTGACCATGGATGATAACCAATTATGTATTATATTAGTCAAAGAATGGGAATTCTAGAACACTTACTTATATGTTCATGCAGAGCCTATATACAGAACCATGAACATAGGCCATGAATACAGTAGTTCTGTTCAAACAGAACCAGGGGAAACTAACAGCATGGTTTAAAAATAAGGAAAGATGTGGATCTGGATAAGGGCTATAGTTTTTCACTAAATGTATTCAATCTGTATGCTGACCAAATAATCTGACAAACTGGACTGTATGAAGTTGTGCATGGCATCGGGATGGGAGGGAGTCTCATTAACAACCTGCAATATGCAGATGACACAACCTTGCTTGAGTCTGATAAAAGAAGATGTGAAGTATTTACTGACAAAGCTCAAACCCTAACATAAAACCAAAAATCCTCACAATAAACAACTTGATGATAAATGGAGAAAAGAATGAAGTTGTCAAAGATTTCATTTCACTTGGATCCACAATGCATAGCCATAGAAGCAGCAGTGAGGAAATGAAAAGATGTAATGCATGAGAAGAAAAAAATCTGCTACAGAAGGCATCTTTTAAATTGCTATTATCATCCCAGTCTACGTAATATTCTCAAATCCCTTATATGCATGTGAGCTGGACAATGAATAAAGAAGACCAAAGAAGAACTGATGCACGTGAATTGTGGTTTGGTGAAAAATGAACTGTCAAAAGAACAAATAAATTTGTCTTGGAAGTAGTACAACCACAGCAGTAAGGATAATAAGATTTTGGTTCACATTTTCCCCCGCATGTGATCAAGAGGGATCGGTCCATGGAGATCATGTCCCCAGATATCATGCTTACTAGGGGATCACATGGAAGGAGGAGTGGCATCCACTTCCATAATAGCTTGCCTCCAGAAACCCTATGAACCTGGAGAGAGGATGAAAGGCACCCAAGTGTCGAGGATTCTCCTTCATAGGGTTGCTATGAGTCTCCTGCGACTCGACGGCACTTAACAACAACAACAACAACAACAACAACAACAGAGGATCACAAAAAAAGGAGGAAGGGCTTTAATA